GTTTTTTGTTTTGTGTTTTGTTCTTTGTGGGTATTTTGTTGTCTGTTCCGCTGCGCCGGTCGAGTAAAGAACACACACGGAAGGAAGCGGCGTCCGAATCCTTTCAGTGGGCCCTGGGAAACCTACTCGCCCCATGGGTTGAAGCTCTCTCAGAGGGGAGGCACGTGATGCCAGCTAAGGACGACAAAAATTTAGAGGGGAGGACGAAGCTTAGAGGGGAGAGGGGACCACTCCTGGTTCTATATGGTGAGCGTCGCTTCCGTGTCATCAATGTAGCACTTCGATGAACCCTTTGGAGGCACCAAGAGCGCCTTCTCCTCAGGACTCAGCGGTTACGCCATCTCGTCCTCCAGCTTCATGCCACAGAAACTTGCGCATCAGTGCACTATTAGCACGCTTCTTGTGTATGGAAAAATCAAAAGGAACGCGTTCTTTCTTTTTTTTTTTGGAGGAGGTGTCGTGTTGCACAAAGAGTTCCAACAGGAAGAACGGCAGTGCGGAGAAGAGCGGCACACACACACACAGACACAGACGGCACGGGGGTGGGTGTGAGAGCCAACGCCTCAATGTCCAGTGAGGGCGAAACACAGGAGCCATAACACACATGGGCGCATGTACACAACAAGATGTGGCTGCAGCAAAACAAAACAAAAAGCATACGCAGTACGTTGGACGGAGAATGTTATACCGTTTTCTTTTCACCTGGGACGGCTTTCCGGTCGAGCAATCGCCTCAAACAGGTGCTTTTTTTTCTTTCCCTGTGAAGCAATGCCGAAACGTAAAACAAATGGAATTCAGCGTCATATCTTTTTTTTTTTGGCCTTTTATCCTAATAGGCTGTGGTTGGAAACAAGAGGGGGGTGGGGGCAAGAAAGCCCCCCCCCCCACGCACACACACAGAAAAAAAAAAGCAAACATATCAACTGAGCGGCTTGTTTTGCATGAAGTTGTTGATAATGGCGGAGGCAGCAGCTGGCTGGTCCATCGGCACCATGTGCCCCGCGTTGTAGACCTGCACGAAGCTGAAGTGCAGCGGCGACGTGTCGGTAGCAACGCTGCGAATGAGGCCGGCCACGGTGCCGTCCGGTGTCGCGAATGGGACGTCGGCGGCCGCATTGAACGCGTCCTGGCCGGGCCACTGCATTGCCAGGGTCCAGTTCTTGTTGCCGATCCAGTTGCAGATGAAGTCCATGTCCCCTGCGTAGATCATCACGCGGACACCATCCTCGAGAAGAGCGGGAATGGTGTAGTTGAAGTTCTTTAACCAGTCAATGGCAAACATGAGGTTGACGGACATGTTGCATGACTCCCAGGGTTGTGGATCAGCGCCGAGGGCCTTCTGCACGTCTCCTCTGTTCATGAATTTGTCCACGCCATCAAAGTTGTAGCACAGAGTTCCCACACATTTCTTGCGAATGTCGTAGTTGTTCAGCCCTGTGGCGCTGTAGATGCCAATAATTGGATTGCACGTGACACGTCCAATCATGCACGCCGCATCGGCAATAACACCGTCGCCAGAGTCGCAAACCTCAATAAACTTCTGACACGCTGGCACCATTCCCTGCATCAGTTTGTAGCCCGCTTCATTGACACACGGCTCGCCGAGTTTCTCCTTGCACCAGTCCCATGCCATTGGCGGGTACGAGGCGTACTGGGTGTACGGGTCGGTGAGGCCGTTGCCTACGGCGAGCCCAGTCAAGCGAATATGCGGGCCCTCGTTGTTGCGGTTGCCCTGGCTGATGCGATACGCTGTCGCAGGGGCGTAATGCCCGCCGTAGCTCTCACCAACCACAAAGAAGTCATTGTTTCGCAATTCCTTGTGGGCACCGAAGAAGGCCTGCACGAAGTTGTACATGTCATTCGACACTTCCTCCTCGTTTTTGTCGGCGTCGCTGGCATTGGCGTACGAAAAGCCCACACCGGCCGGTTGGTCGATGTAAATCACATACGCCTCGTTGTTCCACGAGTAGGTGTTGTTGTAAATCTCCCCTGTCGTCTCATTCATCAAGCACGGTCCGTTTTCCACGAGTAGTGCGAGCATCGAGCTGCAGCCTGGGCCACCTGTCATCCAGAGGAGAACAGGGGCATTGGGGTTCTTGTTGCGCGGCCCGAACGCCCAATAGAAGTAGTGCTTGTCACCCGCAGAGCCGGGGATGTCGAAGTAGCCGCTCCACTGTGGCACATTCGGGTCACAAGGGCGCCAGCCTGAGCTGGTCTCGCGCAGCCGCGGCGGCATGGAGGCGTACAGTGCGTCCGCCGTTGTCGCGGCGAGTGCAGCTGCGGCGATGAGGGCGAAAATTGCAGAAAACCGAAAGCGCGTCATGGTCATTTTGATTTCTCTCCTTCCTGTGCGTAAACGTTGTGTGGGAGCCA